AATTCACCCGAGATCTTTCTTCGTATGTTCAGCTTCTGCAAAACCTGCAGACCGCCCTGGACATGTGCACATGCGTTGTCATAGTTACCGCAGAGCATCTCGCAGGCGATGAATAACAAACAGCAGACTAACACCACCTCCTGAAATTGAGGATCCTGCGAAAAGTGTCGTTTGTTCAAGAGGGAGATCGAGCGTCCCGCCTGCTCCAGTCCAAACCAGTACCAGATGCTCTGCAGCTTCTGGCCTGGTCGCAAAACCTTGTCCTTGTCTTGAGCATTATTGATAGCCCCCAAGGCGATGGCAGCATGATATACAGCCGGTTCTGTGTAACTCAAGCGGAGGATAAGACGGTGCCAGAGCGACGAATCATAGAACCCAACCATGTTCTGCACGGATTGATGCTGGAAGAAAGACAGACATCGACCCTCGTCCGAGGTCACGGCCCACTGCAGCCCGAATGCTACCTGAGTGAGTGCAGGGTGTGCTACAGCTACCGTCCGTTTCAATTGTTTGGATTGAGGACCACACGCTCGGGGAAGCCGGTGGGCTTCGTACCCATCGCAGGTACGACCTGTGGACACGCAGTTGGTGCAGGCATCGGGCGCTTCATCACATTTGATGCGACGCAACCTGCCGAGAAGCGTTGAGTGAGTATGATTTTTGATTTTTGGGTTTTATGCATCTGTCTTTCGTGGTGGTGGTGGTGGTGATGGTTGTTTTACTCTAGGCCGGGTATGGATACGTACCGGCAGGTGCGACATCCGGTGGAGGATCGTTTTCTGTGTGGCTTGCGTTTGGAAAGTAACATGGTGAGGCAGTGGGACTAGACAGGATTTTTTGGATCGGTTGAGGGAGGGGTTACGCTTGGATTTAAAATCCACGGAGTCAGGAATTGGGGTGAATCTTTGCGCCAAGTGTCCGAAATGAGCGGCCAATAACTACCTGGTAGACTAGGGTCGGTTTTTGGGGGGGACTAAAAATCCCTCCCCCCCGTCGTTGTCTCGCCTCGCCTGTCTCGCGTACTCTGAGGCTGTGAAGCTTTACCTGAACGGGTCTGACCCTATCTGATCGCTCGCTGGCCCACCGTCACCTCCACTGCTGAGATGTCATAATCTTAACTTTGGCCATGTGGAATATGCTGCCACGCTTCCAGAATACGAAGTATATCTTTCGCCCCGTAAGCTTACTTGCAGTTCATTCAAATTCGTCAAATTCGTCAAGTTCGTCAAATTCGTCAAGTTCGTCAAGTTCGTCAAGTTCGTCAACCCATGCGCGTTCAGGGATGACGGGGTGGCCCCGAGGGTGGTGTCAGGCAGCCGCAAGGGTCTGGCTAGGTTAAGTTAGGTTAGTTAACTAGTCAACTAGTGATAAGTTATTATTAACCCACCCCAATCAAACAGACTCACTGCTAAATGAGTGCTAACTAACTCTTGCTAACCCCGCCTGCGTTATCTGAGCAGTGAGCAGCGAGCAGCGAGCACTGAGCACCAATTCGTTATTCACGCTAAGAGCCGCTAAAAGCCCGCTAAGCGTATGCCGATCCGATGAGGCAAATCCTTCTCACCAACCGAATATCTACTCCTCCCTTCTATTCTATGTGCCGTCCTCTACCCTTGCGGGCGAGTTTCATCCTGGGATGTCTTGGGTTTGCCCTAATTTGACACGTTCAACTATCACATGCTTTGAGGGCATCTACTCAGACACCTGCATGGGTCCGAATAATCATTCTTCGAGTTAAGCAGAGTTCAGCCCTGGATTGATTTCTTCATTACGAGAGCCACATGGTCTTCCTTCAAGGTTAATCTTCTTGGCCTGCTGGGTTTGGCTGTGGGGGCTGTGAACGTGAAAGTGATTGTGAAGGTGAACGTGACTCGGAGTCAAGCCACGGAGTGGAATTGCCAAATAGGGAAGGTCGGGAGTGTTCCGTCCGCCGTTGAAATCGACTCGACTAAAACTGCAGCCCAATTCCCCAGGTGGGCTCCGAGGGCCTCCTTCCCCCCCCCCCATCTTCCATCTCTCCATTTCCTCTTTCCTCACACAACTTGCAGCTCCCGCAAGTTCATTGTCTCCTCCTCGGCCCGCTGCAGATAGTCTTTTTTCAACAGCATGCCCAACACAGGGGTGTAATCAAAGATCAGGTCCCGCATCTTGGCCAAAGGCCAGGGCAAGCGGTGAAACATGGATCCCGAGAAGCGGGCGAATTCCATGTGATGGTTCGCGTAATTCACGCGCTGCTGCTCATAGAGCTCAAATCCAGCGGCGACGGCTCGGGGATCGCGCAGGTCGACCCCGTCGAGGGCGCGGGCGAGGTAGTAGCCATCCTCGATCGCCATCCCCATCCCATATGCGGCATACGGTGAGACCGGGTGCACCGCATCGCCCACGCCGACCACTCTCCCAGCCGACCATTTCTGCAAGGATGGCCGATTATAGGCCTCCCACCGGTAGACCTGGGAGTTGAAATCGGTCGCCTCGAGGAGTCGCGGCATCGGCTGTGCCCAGTTCTGGAGAATCGCGGTCAGATGCGTGCGAGGGTCTGCCGGCGCCGGCTTGCCCTCGTAGGAGGGCTCGACCACCCACCACTCGAAGCCGGGTCGTCTGCCCTCACGCATCATGGGAAAGAAGCTGGCCTGGTACTGCCAGTCGTGGGAGATCACCCCGTGGTGGGCCGGGATCCCGGGGATCTGATCGCACCACGCAAGCCAGACCCGGATGCCCGTGTGGAAGAGCCCGGGCTCGCCAAAGGCCTGCCGCGACACCGTCGACCGAATGCCGTCCGCCGCGACCAAGATGTCGGCCATCATGGTGCTGCCATTCTTGAACCGGATCTGCACGCCGGAGTCTTCATCTTCACTCGCCTCCTGCTTCTCCTCATATCCGGTTACCTCATGATCCGTGTAGATCACGCCTTCCGGGACCAGTTCCAGCATCTTCCCGAAGATGGTCGACCGTAACACTCCGTACTGCCAGCCCTGGATGCCCATGCGTCGCTCGACCTCGGCGTTGAAGGGCAGCTGGACCCGTTCCTTGCCCCATTTGTTGGCGAAGGTCGTCCGCGTGTATGACCCGAAATTGTCCGAGGTCAGCCCGTAGGCGCGGAGGATGGCGAGCACGGGGATGGAGAGCAGCACCGCGCCGCCGATGGCCTGGCACGTGCGCTGTTTTTCGAAGATGCGCACATCGTACCCCCGTTGGAGAAAGGCTAGCCCCGTGGAGATGGCTCCGGGGCCTCCGCCGGCGATGGCCACTCGTTTTCCGGGGCGCCAAGGCGGGGACATCTTTGAGGAAGCTGGGACTAAGAGGGAATCAGCAAGGAGTGACTGGATATGGGAGCGACAAATTATAGTTTTTTTGATGGAGCTTGCTTATTTATATAGCATATCTGTTGTTCTATGGTTGGTACTGGAGTAGGGAGGGTGACCGGTTACTCAGCGGAGGTTCTGGTGAGGGGATCGGCAGGGATTCTCGGGCTTTGGGATCGCCTCCAGCCTCCGTGCAGTCACCACCACCTATTGCGGATCTGACCCTTGTTGCGATTCACTTCTAGCCTGTAAGTTGTCCAGGTAGCAGCCTACAGTGTGGGATGTCCTGCAGGGGTACTGACTCGTGGCTCTAGTCGTCTTCACCTCGTTCTGGGGTTATTTACTTGTTGCCCCGCACGGTAGACTGCCAAAGCCATGACCCGTTTCATGCGCCGAGAGCCCTAAGCGAGGTCCATCTTCACGAGGCCTTCGGAAGGATTTACCCCCACTTACCGCTTGATTTGACCAACGGTCAGGGTCAGTGGACTAAGTTAGTTATACTTTGAGCGGCCTGGCTCCGGCCTTCTGCTGTGGGGGCTTTCTCGTCTGCGTCTGCCCTGGGGATCTCTGGACCCTGCCAAGGAAGGCAATAAGCACCTTCTCTATAATCCGACTTCTTCCAGATTCCGCAAAATCCAGTGGGTGTGCGTGTCAGTCGCTGATGATGGGTTCCTCGACACGAGCAGACAAGCGACCCAAGTCCCGGAGATTGAGTCTGATCCTGTCGCAGGGCTGTCGATGGTCGTTAAACGGGCGTACCATAGAAGCTACTACTCACGGATCAGTCATGAGCGAGAGTGCTGTCTCGAGGTGCTCCAATAAACCATGACGGCTGCATCATACCCTCAGGATGAAGTGAACAACATGCCTTCTGTCCGTTTCCCAGTCTATGTGTTTGTGTTTGTGGCAGCATGGTAAAGTGTTCGATACTCTCCAGACCGAGACACCCACACCATTGAACGCAGACTCACCGCTCAGAGGGCAAGGCTATTGCTTTGACGTGCACATATGGATCACCGGGCCTTGGGGCTGTAAAGGTCTGGGTGGAGTGGGCATGTAATCAGACCAGGCATTCCGCTGGGCTGCACAGCGACTGCTTATCGCTGCATTTGATACATAGAACCACAAATGTGTCACAATTAACATCAACAGGGGCTGTGGTTTAGTGGTATAATATTCCCTTAGCATGGGAGAGGTCCGGGGTTCGATTCCCCGCAGCTCCATTTTTTGTTGGATTTTGATCGCGTCTTTGCATGAGTTGCGGGTGGTGAGGAAGATTGCTTGGCAGGTTATAGTAGTCTGCGACGGCCGGTGTCAGTAGCACGGCTGCTTTTCTTTTGTCCAGGAAGAGTTGGTTGAATAAGGCGACGCTACATGGTGGCACTGATATACTCAACTGTACTCTCACCCTTTCTGTCAGCGTCTGCATGGACCAACTCGGAAGACGGCATGCCACGCCGGTGAGATGTAGTTTAAACCGACAGATGGAATCTGCACGAATGAACCAATCAGCAAGCTCGCGCCTGTAGTTGATACCAAGCCAGTCTACCTAGATTGAGCTTACGGCGATCTCTGGTGGTTTCAGGCCAGCCGTACCGAGCACAAAGAACCCGGTGATGCTACTCTATCAGAACAGCTTGACCAACCTCGCTTGTGAATAAATCTCATTCCCCATACCCAATTTCATCATCAGTCCGCATGGCTTCTAGCTACGACTACATCATCATCGGCGGCGGCTTAGCCGGCTTAACCCTCGTCGGCCGCCTGTCCGAACTCCAACCCTCGCAAACCATCCTCCTCCTGGAACCCTGCGCACTTCAGCCCGCTGAAATGGGCCTGCACCACGGTGCCGCGGACGCATCTGGACGGGCCGGGCCGAGACGTATTGGGATGGCCACGCCGGCCATCCGCTGGGAATTGAGCTTGGGAGCTGGGGCTTGAGGTTACTGGGGAGTTGGAAGAAAGGGGGGTCCGGGGGTTCTCCCCCGGAACGTTATATATTCTATTGTTTGGGATTGGGGTCTACGGTGAGTGGGAAGTAAAAGAAGAAGAAGATGAGTCCGGGGGTTCTTCTTCGGAATGCTTTATTCTTGTTTCTAGTAGATACTTAGGCTTGGCGATACTCGGAAGATAAGAAATTAGAAATCCAAATACTTAGAGCTAGGGTTATCAGGAAGTTAAAAGAAAGGGGGGTCCGGGGGTTCTCCCCCGGAACATTATATATTCTAGTACTTAAGATTAGAATCTATAGTAAGTAGAAAGTAAAAGAAGAAGATAGAACCGGAGGTTCTTCTTCGGAATACTTTATTCTTATTTCTAGTAGATATTTAGATTTGGCGATACTTAAAAAATAAAAAAATTAGAAATCTAAAAATTTTTCTTAAAAATATTTTATTCTAGTACTTAGAGCTAGGATTATTAGAAAATTAAAAGAAAAAAAGATCCGGAGGTTCTTCTCTAGAATATTATATATTCTAATACTTAGAATTAGGGTTGTTGGAAGGTTAAAAAAAAGAAGAGTCCGGGGGTTTTTTCTTAGAATATCTTTTCTAATACTTAGAGCTAGGATTATCAGGAAGTTGAAAGAAAGGGGGGTCCGGGGATTCTTCCCCGGAATATTATATATTCTAGTACTTAAGATTAGAATCTATAGTAAGTAGAAAGTAAAAAAAAAAAGATAGAGCCGGAGGTTCTTCTTTAGAATATTTTATTCTTATTTCTAGTAGATACTTAGATTTAGCGATATTTAGAAGATAAAAAGATTAGAAATCCGAAGATTCTTTTTAAAGATATCTTATTCTAGTATTTAGAGCTAGAGTTATTAGAAAATTAAAAAAAAAAAAATCCGGGGGTTCTCCCCCGGAATATTATATATTCTAATACTTGGAATTGGGGATATTGGGAGGTTGAAAAGAAGAAGGATCCGGGGGTTCTTTCCCGGAATGTCTTTTCTAGTACTTAGAGCTAGGGTTATCAGGAAGTTGAAAGAAAGGGGGGTCCGGGGGTTCTCCCCCGGAATGTCTTTTCTAGTACGCAGAATCTGGGTATTTGGGAAATGGTTGTGGGGTAGTGACTCGGTTGGAGGTGTGAAGGGTTGCGTGAGTTGCGATAGTAAGGTGCTCTGTTGTTGCTGGTGCGGAGAGGATGGAGGTACTGCGTCTACTCGGTTGATAGTGGAAAGCAATCGATATGGCTAATCTCAGGCCTGGGTATTTATTCCAGCCCTCAGCCTGGTTAATATAGGTCCTCATACAAACGATCTATGTACAGTATGTACTAACAACCCTTGACTCCAGTCCAGAATATCGACTTTGACATCGCAGATGAGACAAGTCTTTTCCCACAGCTTCCATAGCCTTACTCTATCCTGCGGCCCAAGCATGCCTGTCGTGCCTTTTCAGCAGCATCGCGCCGATCAACATCGTAAGTGAGCTCCCAGACTTGTACAGTACCCTTGTCCCCACTGGTACTGGGACAACGCTCCCGGGACATTGATTCACAGCACCATAGAGTAAGTACTGTATATGAGCTATTGATTTGCTTGCGCCCATGGATGCGATCGAGTCAGCTTAGAGCCCTGCAAGACGTGTGCAAGGATTCATTGCGGTCTTGCTGTAACGGGTATTTGCTTGTAGTTCACGCGAGAGTTTGGAAGTCTAATCATCCTGATGACGCCTCTGAGAGGTGGAGAAGGCTTGTTGATTCCTCTACGTGAGGCTATCGGAGAGAACTAGCTAAGGCAGCCGGGTGGGCGGTGAGCTGGCACCTCAGGCACCAAGGCCCCGGGGCCGCCGTCACATCCAACAATTCACCAACAGATGGAGAAATTGCGCCTGAAGCTGTCCATGTGTCGATCAGTCCATGCACACTTGGGAAAGACAAGTCTATGAGCTCGCCCTACCTAGTCACCCAGCAAATCTGGAGGACAAGACTCAACCTCGAGCTTTCTGAGCCTTCGCTCAGCAGCCCTGATCCCACACTCGAGCTTCTCCCTCCCTTCCGGAGTATCGATCTTCACTTGCCAAGAGCCCTCAGGCATATTGATGTAGAGCACATCATCCAGAACGTAAAAATTGAGGTTTTGGTGGATGCTTCTCTCGGCCCAGATTTCGAAGAACGCTTGCCAGGCCCGCTGACTGAGCCCTGGTAAAATTGAATAGAATTGGGCTCGATCTCTCAAAACGAGCTCTGCCTCAATCGCTGTCCAATCCGGTGCCGACTCGCTTTCCATTGAGGAAAGCAGGTCTTCAATGATGGTTGTTGGGAGGTTGATTTGATTGCGCACAATTGCGATGACGTTGTATCGTTGACCGGACACGTTTGATTCCACGTGCGGAAGTAACAACCTGAGAACATCCTCTGGGATCATTCGGGAGCTTTTCAACGCCCAAACCCATTCGAATCGCTTGGAAATAGCAACAACTACTAGACTGCGAGCTGGATTGGCAGGGATCTCAATGCTTGAGAGAACATCCACTGCCACTTCTGCATGATTTTCCGTGCCATGTTTGATTATTGTTACCAAGGATTTGACAATTTGCTCCGGCAAGTCATCCAACGAGTCCATACTTCGCAGCGCACGACCAACAACAAAGCTGTCGCTGCTGTTTAAAAGAGCAAGGACCTTGTCTGTGAATCTATGCAAGAGACCAGGGAGTGAATCTCGACATTTTTCAAGGCATACTTGCCAGCTACCGTTCGAGAATAAGGCTTCATAGTCTTGATCTTGCAATACGGAGTTCCTGACGAGGATGGTACAACTGGGCATCAGACGGATGTCGTCGGCGAAGCTTTTCCTGTGGCAAAAGTCCAATGCCTGCTGTAAGACCGAGTCGGGTAATGTTTGCTGATTGATGAGCGCCTCGGCAATCCACCTATGTACGTCCGAGGTGTTATATTCAGATTCCGCCAAACTGAGTAGTCTTTGCAGCACACTGACATCGAGGTGACTGTACAATGTTGAGAGCCAAGCTCCTTGTGTTCGCATCTCAAGCTTGTCATGATTCAAGAGTGAAAGCAGTGTTTCTTGAGTAGGGAGGTAATACCCATTCCTCAGTTCTGGGTAATTGTAAATTGAGGGATTAATATCAAGGAGCCATGAGAGAAAAACTGTACGGGCATCGATCGAAAGGTCCGAAATCCCTGACAGAATTGACACAGGCAAACGTTTATCTCCGTCGGCATTCAGTATTATCCCGTTGACAATACCTTCTGGAAGGCTCTCAGACTCCCGCGGCCGACGCTCCAAACCCCTGTAAAATTCCCTCCGTTGCTCCGAGTCCGCACAATGTGCATAATACAAAGCAAGTGTTGGAAAAGACTTGTGGAAATGCCCAACTATGTACGGAAGATACGAATGTTGGCTGAAAATGGGACATTCGACCAGTCCCCGAGGAAGAGTAGACGATCTAAAGCGCTCACAGAGAAAGTCATAATAGAACCAAATACTATCATAATTGGAGGGTCGGATGCGAAAGGCTCCCTCGATTAGATGCTCCGGAAATTCCCTCTCCTTTGCCAGCGAGGCATAGCGGGAAGCCGAGTTAGGAACTGTCAGGAACAGTCGCAGCAGCCGCCTTTCGACATTCGCTTCTAAGTGTCCCAGTGCTTCATCGTCATTCGTTAAGCCCACCTCACTAAAGCAGTGCATAAGAATCCGCAGATGGGCAGGGCCGAAGACGTCACGCGGTTCACCATCCAATGCATTCATGAAATCCAATAGCTTCCCTCTGTTTGTGACAGACAGCAGCCCAGCCACAAATCGCCACATGATGTTATACCGCGGTGCGTTCTTTTCCTGCCGGAGGAATTGCTTTGGGACGATATCTGTAGTTCTGATGACTCCATTGGAAGAAATGGTAGTCAACGGTATTGCCTTCTCATCGATCCAAAATCGGACAAAATACTGCGCAGCGAAGAATTCCTGGAAGGTGAGATGGAGGAAGTGATAGTTTTTCATATCATCAGAGGATGTATCGGAAGTTCGCAAAAAGGACATCTTGCTCAGATGCCCATCATTCAGCTGCGGAAACTGGGTGTAGAGAGCTTTTAGGTGCCCAGGTTGAAATTCGATAATATTTGCAACAAGACCGTAGAATGCCAATGTTTCGATCGCCTCGACTTCGGCAGTCAATTCCTTCTTGATCTGTCCCAACTCACGATATTGCCGGGCTTCGTAGGGACTCTTTCCGAGCAACTGTTGCATGTCCTTCCGCCACAATTCTTTTCGATTGCCTGGTACAGAGTAGTTATTGTCTTCTGAGTATCGGGGAGGAAATCACCATCTTTAGTATCCCATCCAAAGCAAAGTGCGTCCAGTTGGATCGGAATTTGAACCAGTCCTTGTATGATTGGATATCGCTCGATGAATTGCTCGATGTTCTCACTTGACTCAGGGTCAACGACACTCCGGATGTATTCCTTGACTTCTTGGGGGCGAAATCCGATAGTCTCCAACTCCAGGTCAAATGCTTCCCCACCGGCAGGAACCGCAGCATACGGCCTTGAGGTAACAATAATATTCTCACGATCAAAGAGCTCCCCGAAGAACTGAGTCACCTCATTTCCAAATCCGCTTCTCTCCCCCACAATCTCGTCAAGGCCGTCCAATATGAGGAGGGTTCTTCTTTGGTCCAGCACAACTCTCAGCAGAGCCTGGACTAGAATCTCCTTGTCGTTATCCAGCAGGAAATACTCCTGTTTCAAGTATCCCTCCAAATCCGCTTGGCCTTTGAGCCTTCGTAGAGGAACCCAGAAGATATGCTCGAAATGACTTTTCCACATGTTGTTGTGGTGAAATTCGTGCATGATCTTTTTGCACAGGGTGGTCTTTCCAACACCAGCTCGCCCTCGGATCAAGACTCGTTTGGGCCGATTGGACGTGCCATTACGTAGGGCCCGCTGATTGAACAGCTCCTCCAAACATAATTCTTTCTCCCCCCCCGGGCCGTGCAACCTTGAGCTGCTCGAACAGCGAAAGTTCGGCTTGCCGTTGGGCCATCGGATCGAGAGACTTCCCATCCTTCGCCAAAGATTCTATGATCGCCAGATTGATGTAGCACCGTTCCATCGGAAGTAGGGCCCCGGATACTCGCGTGATCTCCAGACGCTTCCCCCTCGTGTAATGCTCCGCTGCGGCCACCTGCGCAAAGAATGCTTGCGCCTTCTCGCATTTGGACCAGGCTTTGTCAAGAAGACCGCCGTGGCTGAGATCATCCGACTGTTCCAACTTACAAAAGATCTCCAGCGTGGGCATATATTCGGTCTTCTTAAAAATGCGACGTCTCCAAGATGGGGGTGGCTGGTCCTTCTTCCAATGCAGCTTACCAAGGGTGTTGGCGACAAGTGCAATCCAAGACTGGAACCTTGGGGATTCCTTTCCCGCTTGTCTCGGGCAGCTTTTTCGAACCGGAAAGTCGTATAGTGTCCACTCAATGAACGTCTCAATTCCGTCTCTCATTTCTTCATGCTTCTTCCAGCTTTGCTCAAGTTGAGCGTAGAGACCACACCAGAAAGATTCATTACTTAGACAATCGAGTCGTGGTAGAAGGTCTTTCAATGTGTTCAATGCACGATCCTCAATCAGTAACCCAGTGTACCTGAGTGCACCGTACCACAGCTTTTCCTTGGGCAAATAGCCTAGAGTCTGCAGAAACAAGTCTTGAAGCGATTCCGATGCAGTGTACACGTCCCTGCCGGCTCCGATGATACCTTTGAGTGTCTCCAACAGTTTGAATATGTCCGATGTCGCATCGATTGCCTTGGTGGGATCCATGGTGGATATTGCACCTGCGATCTTCGCAGTAGGCTCCAGGACCATCCAGCTATAGCGACAGAGGGCCTGCCATTGCCCTTCATCGTCCGGGACCCCGCGCAACGCTTCATGTGCGTAACAAGCGGCCTGAGCCAGACGAGGCTCCGAGTGATTGCGAAGCGACTTCAGTTTGCTCAGAAGCGGCTCGTGCGTGGTTTCTCGGCTGACATCTGATATCTTGATGTCGACCATGGCGTCAAGCAACGTTGCCAGGCAGTTGGTATTGTTTCTCGAGGGCGCCATCTGCACTCTTGATTCGCGTGTGGAGGTTGGTGAGTAAAGGTTTCAGCAAGTGCCGCTTCGATATACTCTCCTTGGAGTTTCGAAGAACGTAGCACAGATCGATGAGCAAGCGGGTGTCAACAAGCTCATTGTCGCTGGCGCCGCGGCTGACGGCATTAATGAACGCTTCCAGAAGACCCGCGGGCTCCGTGTCGGACAAGATAGTTGCCAGCTGGGCTGCTTCATTCGAGTACGACGGCTTTTTTTCATCTTTGAAGATGTCGAGCATGCGAGTCGCCAAACCATGAAGCGCTTTGCCTTGCTCGGTCTCTGGGCCGACAGCCTTGAAGCGCTCGATCAGGTCGCGCGTCGTTGTGGGTCTCTTCGTGACTTCTCGACACGAGAATTCTTTCACTGTCATCATCATGTATACTTGTATACGGTCGTTTCGAACCCAATTCGCAGTCCAGTCGAAGAGAGAATGAGGGGTGGGTTTTCATTCACCTTTAGCGCCATGCACAGTGACTAAGTCGACATGTACCAGACTTAGTGAAGGAAGGAACGCTTCCAAGCAGTGCACTTCAGGTTTACGGGTCGACTCAGCAATTCCAACCGACTACGAAACCTCTAAAAGCGCACATATTGAACAGACGCCGCCCTGCGACTTTACCTACAAGAAAAAACTTCGGTGGTGCTGCGGGGTGTATACTCGCAACCCGAGACTACTCTACACTAGATACCCGTTCCGAGTTCCAATGAGTACGGAGTACTGTTACCCAATGCATTCTAGGACTAACAAGTGTCTGCGACAGCCTGAAGGCCAGTCCGGGAGTACGGAAGCAGTATTGTTGCTCTGCATGATCTGTAGCATGTGCTTCAAGTAGTTGTATGTCAAGCTCCAGAGGCAGTTGCTTAAATGCAAGCATTTGAAAGGTCACAGGTTGGATAGTGGCTCTGTCCACCCCGTAGAAGATAATCCCGACAAAATGGTCGAAGAATGACAATAAAAGTATCGTTCTAATATCAAATGACATTCTCACTTATCCGAAAGATCCGAACGGCTCGGTTAGGTTCCCCGAATCTCATAATCTCGACTGAGAGGAAGGTCTGGTCTAGGATGAAACTGGGTACCGGCTGTGTGATGAAATACGCTTTATCATGCGTTTGATTGTAGTGGAATCACAGAGGACAGAGTATGTACACTTGACTGCGTTGAGGGGCATGATCCTAAACCTTCTGGCCTCGACGAAGATAGGTGGATCAGATCTCAGAACTACTTGCAGAACTCCATAGCCACAATATTATAATTCTAGACTGGCATATCTACCTTACTAGGGGAGCCGCTACATCACACCGGCTTCGCTACGGACACACACCATTTTGGCTCCTACGGTGCCAAACCAAGGAAATCCTACACAGGACGGAAAGCAGGTGGGTCTGTCCAGACTTAAGACATCGAGACTAACCTTCCACCCGAAACAACCAGCTGTGATCCGACCGACCTCTGCTACGTATCTCTCCGCCCTCGAAGAGAGTTAATAATAGTCAGCGCCAATGCACCAATGTGACAGGCTGGAAGCGAAATGCTACCGAAGTGAGGCTGGGAATTGGCTGGCTGGATTGATGGATCATGGATCCTGGATCATGAATGGCTGGGCCGTTGAGTGGCCCCCTCCCCGGTCGGGTCCACATCCCAGTGAGATCAGCAAGCTGGGCGCTCCCCCCAGAGGCAACGGGGACCAAGGTGCCTGCTCAACGACCAGCTCTCCAATGGCCGGAGACCACGAATAGGCACCTGAAATGGATCATGGTCCAGCCAACTGTGGGCAAGGCCACGGCGTTTGAAGAAACATCATGCTGCAGGCAGGTTGCTGCTTGTAGGCCCGATCATACACATTTACACAACTACTGTGTATGATGACTGATCCAGAGAGCTGAGCTCTTGCTGACCGAGAACATTTGACGATGGGATGGTTGGCGCGAGAACACACCAGACCCCAGCCTCCAGCTTATTTTATTGCTTGGATGTTTTCTTTTTCTCGGGTTGTTTCCTCGGTTGTTGCTGACAGTGATTGTCTAAGAGCGAGCGCGGGATGGACGGACGAGAGAGAGGGGCTGGCAGCAGGCAAGCGCATGGAGCGTCGATCGGCTGAAGCTCCAGCTCCAGAGAGCTCGGATTTCCGATGCGACCCGGGGAAACCGGCCCAGTTGCCATGGGGACCCGGAGGTGGCTGGCCAGCCTCGTGGTGTGTGCGTTGGGGGGAGGATACAGCAGGGTCGGCCTGCATGTGAACGAGGAGGGAAGATTTGATCAATCAATTGCGCGGTGGATCAAGGTTGTTAGCGCTAGTTGGGGGTTTGATTTGGGAGGATAAATTCCCTATATAGATCAGCGTGGTCGAGATAAGTTGTGGTATGTGGACTGGAGTAAGTTTGAGTTGCAGATTCAGGAACCGTGGTTTGTAGGCGGATTTCTGAACCTCGGGTCGTTTCCCTTTCCCACCCACCCACCCACCCACCTGCCTCTTCAATTGTAGATTTGATAGTATGGAATCCGGATGAACTGGGCAAAGGAGGAGGAAGGGACTAGAAAGTCAATTGGAGTGGGTTAGAAGCTGATTAGATAGGGATAATGGGAGTTGTCTGGGAATAACATCGCCCCCCAGAAACGGCAAGGTGTGGTAAACAAAACGCGTGACGAGGGAAACCATCCGCAATTGTATTTCAGCGGGTTTGTTCCCCTCCTCCTCCTCCACTTCTGTCCTTCTCTCACTTCTCTTCTTCCCTTTCCTCTCTTCTTTCTCCATCCTCTTTCATCTCTTCTTCCCTTACCCTCACATTCCAATCCCCTCAAGCTTTTTAAGCTTATCTTTTATCTCACATTCCTCATCAGGAACTTTCTCCGCATTCTTCGGGTAGTTTGATCTATCAACTTTCCCTCCACACCCCCTCCTCCCATCTCTCTACGAGAAAGACTTCTCTCTTCCTTAAGAGTCTTTTCTTGTCTCGCCTTTCGAGTTGTTGTTTAACAGTTCGAAAGGGATTCGAGAAAGGACGCCGACAGGACAGCCAATCTGGACTTTGACGCCCGCGTCCCCATCCCCTTCAGTGTCTTCCCGTCGTCGTACCGGAGTGACGCTGTTCCTGAAGCTACTCTTGCGGCCACAGCCAGAGTAGAGGAAGAAGTCAATCTCGATCGCACTTCGCACGTCGAACGGGAAGATACTCGAACCTCTGCTCCTCTTCCCGACCCGCGTGTCTACGGAAAGGAAGAAATCGACCTTCACTTCGTTGAGCGCGATCAGTTTACTCCTGCTGCGCCCGAGCCTCATCGGCACGAACATCACCACCACAGGCACTCTTCGCGCCCCAACGACGTCAGTGTCCACTTTGACGAGCGAGTCACTACTACCACTAGTACTGCTCCTCCGCCCCGGTATCCTGAGGTTGATCTAACTCGCGAACGGTATGTTGAAATCAATTGAAACGTTTTCTGTTTGTATGGTTATGAAGATTTGTCCGGTGTCTGCCTAGACTACAGTCTAGCACCGACAGCAAACCAAGTGGAGAAAGAGAGAGAGGCCAAAAGAAGCGGTGTCACCATCATCGAATCTCTCTTGGCCTAATGCGCTCTAGTTCGCCTCCCACACTTCTTGGTGGTCGGTCTTTTTGATTTATTTTTATTATTATTATTATTATTATTCTATTTCTTTTGTTTTCATTTCTGTTTTCTCGTTTCTTACGTGGCACCAAAACAAACAAATCACCCAATGGTCCCTTGGCCCTAAAGGGAAGCTGACTGGGTCTTCCCGTGCTTTCCCACTCTTTCCCATTCCCCATCCTCTCCTCTCTTTCTCCTCTTTTCTCCTCCACCACCCGCCTTCTTATACTTTCCCACCCACACACACACACACACACACACACACATACACCTTACCTGACTATTGCTTCTCCCCCCTTCCCTCCCCCTCATACATACACACCTTTCTTTTCTCTTGTCCCACCCAATCATCTCTTATCCGCTTCCCCTCCCTTGTCAATCCCTATCTGACATCTCATCCTTTCTTCCCTCTACAGCTATCGTGAACCGTCGGTCCGTTTCCAAGACCGTCAGCCCACGTACGATCAAGCTCTTCAGACTCAGCTCGATATCACTGAGCGTGAGTACCGTCGTCGGGTCAACAACCCTACCTACGACGTCAACCCCGCCTACAACCGGTCTACCCAGGCTCCTGTTGTAGACTCGTACGCTCCAGGCCCCCGCCAGCCGACCAGGGACGTATCGTACGACCGCACTGTCCAATCAGAGATCGACGTCTCTTACGACCGTGCGTACCAGTCCAAGCCCGTCGACAGCTACCAACGGGACCCCTACAGCCGCCGTCAACAGCGCGTTGAGCCGGTTCCCCAAGCTCCTGCTTCTTCAGCCAACGTTAAGGTCTACAAGCCCAAGACTGTTGTGGATTCCCCTCCTTCTCGCAAGATGGGCTACTACGACGACGACGGTAACTATCACTCCTTCCGTCGTGGTGTGGAGCGCGTTGCCGACCGCATCATGCACCCCACCTCCTCCCACCACCACCACCATGGTCACAAAGACCACGAGGAACTAGTCGTCGCTGACGAACGCGGGCCAGTTCGATTCCGTGAAGGCGTCCGCGAGGATGTCCGCATTGTGGAGCCCCGCGCCGGCAACTCTTCCGCCACCGCCGAGACCGTGCCGATCCCCGTCCACTTCATCCGCATCGGCGACATCCTGATCCTCCAGGGTCGTCCCTGCCAGGTGATCCGCATCTCCGTCTCCCCCCAGACCGGCCAGCACCGTTACCTGGGTGTCGACCTCTTCACCCGGGAGCTCCAGGAGGAGTCCAGCTTCGTCTCCAACCCCTCCCCCTCGGTGGTCGTCCAGACCATGCTTGGTCCCGTCTACAAGACCTACCGCATCCTGGACCTCCGCGATGACGGCCGCCTGGTCGCCATGACCGAGACCGGTGATGTCAAGCAGGGCCTGCCCGTCGTTCCCCAGGGCCACCTCTTCCGTCGCATCCGCGAGGCGTTCGAGGATGGCCGTGGCAGCGTCCGTGCCCTTGTCATCAACGACGGTGGCCGCGAGTTGGTCGTTGACTACAAGGTGGTCCACGCTTCCCGCTTGTAAGCCTTTACTCGGTTGGGTATGGTGCCCGTGGGTGGGAACCGTGGTCACTCCCGCAAAGCATCAACCACGGACCGCCCATGGGTCTTTGACTTTTCTTTTGTCTTTTTCTTTTTCACTCGCAGCGCACGATCATTGATGACCTAAGAAATTAAATCTTGTATCTGATGGATTCACGTATGATGGAATGGCCTTTTGACAAAAATTGTTTACTCGAATGTATCATGGCCTTCTTGTATCTAGCAATAATGGATGTAGATCATGATCTA